TATACTTTCTCTTCTGTAGCCTGCCTAGAAAATCTTAACTGGTATTAGGAAGCTGATGAAATGTTCCAGGCTTGGAATATGGGACCAAGCCTACCTTGAAGGAAGCTCAGTGGGTATGGAAATCCAATTAATTCTGACCTGCTAGTAAAGAATGATTTAAGACATTTTCTGTACATGAGGAAATTCAGAGTTTTTTCCCTTTCTTTTTCTTTTTCTGTTCCTGTCTCCCCTGAATAACTTATCTGTGTGTTCTAGGATACCTCTCAGTTGTATTCCTGATGGGATTTTGCATAGGGAGAGCTGGGCTGATCAAATTACTGGGACAGTCAGAGTCGTCTTCTGCTTAGGAGAATCTTTATGTTTTTCTTGCTCCAGCTGTCAAGCTGTCATAGCCAAATTAACCCAAGTGGGATTTTAGTAGCAAGCTCCCTTTTTAAAGGCATAATGAGGCCAAGGAAATGTAAGAAGAGCGAGAGCAGGACAGGGATTTTTGATAAACTGGGCAGAACTGAGGGTTACTTCACATTCCAGAGCTATAATATTTGACTTCCAGCCTCAAAGGGGATTTCAGCTGAGAAATGAATCCTTTAGAGGAAGGGGTGTAGAAGTTCTATCAGTATTATAGCTGGTTAGATCTCTGTGTATTTCCTTTTTGCATGGTCACTGGGACTAGCAATTGCTAGCATTTAGGTGTCTTGTGATCAGAATACTTTCATATGGAATGAGTTTTCTTTAAAATCAAGCTTCTCTTGGCTCAGGGACCCATAGCTGTCATTTCTTTAGCAAGCATGCTATTTTTCTTTCTTTAAGTTAATGGAGATTAGATTTGTGTCTGTGATAACAGAACCAGTCTTGGTGATCCATGAGATCCCTTCCATCCTTTGTTCTTCCACATACTGTCTAGAAGGTTATGTCAATTCAAAAGAGAAGTAATTAGTTCCACAGGATGCTGACAGAGTCCATCACTAGTGTGCAGTGGGGATGAAGATGCTGCTTTAGGTGCCTGCTTATAAAAGCACATCAGAAAGTCATCAGACTCCTTGAGTGGAAGCCTGTGTTGAAGCTTTTAAATGTGTGATGAATGGGCTGCCATGACCGGCATGTTTAGTATCCAAAAGCAATTGTGAAAATTCCCTCTTTTTATTCTTAGGAGAGCATTAAAACCCATCCCAGAGGATGTGCCATGCTGGATTTGACTCAACAGAACCTTCAGTATGGGTTACCAGCTGCTTTGACCTGGAGAAAGTACTGTTGGGGAGAGGAAAAAATGATACTAGTTGCTCAGTGGCTGAACTCTTATGGCTGCTTTGCCTCCTTTATTCAACCGTGGTTACACTGTGTCTAAACTAAATCGGTATTATTTGGACAGGTTGATCAAAAATGCGTATATTCAAAAAATGTCTATTGGAAAAGAGTTCAGTGAGATTTCAAACAATGCCTGTGTGTGAGGACAAGAGGAAAAATCTCCAGGGTGGACATAAATCTCACAAATAAATCCAGGAGCATTCTCCCAAGTAATAAAGATTTGGGTCTGAAAGCGAGTGCTTTTTGAAAGAACAGTATCAGCCTGGTGCTAAGCAGAGAAAAAAAGTCAATTGTCTATCGGTGAAGGCTGCAAAAGAATTTCTTATTATCTTCTGCTTACTCACCTCTTCAGGAAATAGGAGGCACAGCAGAGGATCATGGCTAGATTTGGAAATCTTCAGAAAAGCATCCTTTGAAGCTGTTATATTTCCCAACTTTATATTAAGCAGATCTTATCTTTTGTGGGATGTTTTTATTATTTTCTTAATAATAGAACTCCTTAAGATATAAGACAGTTGGACCAATCACTGTTTTCTGAAAAGTCAGAGCACCGTACGAATCATAAAGCTGATGATAGTGTTTTCACAAAAAAGGCTATATCATGTCCTAGATAAGAGGAACCATGAAGGGTTGGCTTGCATGAAGCTTTAAACAAGAGCAATGTGCTTGGTTTCTCAGTCATCCATCAGGTCAAGTAAGGTGGATGTCTGAAGTGGCTGTGGCCAAATGTTGAATTTTGGAGTTTACCCATTATACTTCAAAGACAACAGCAAATTTTTGGGCTGTCATCAAATGTTCACAAAAGAGTCAAGCTGAAGAAGGGAAATCATCAAAACATGTATTTGTACAATCTTTAGATCTAAGTCTAACACCTTTTGTGCTTTTTTTTTTCCCAAGTAAAAGGGATTGAGAATTAGGTCAGTTCCTCAGGGATCATCCAGATGGAGGCACCTGCTTTTGCAGCTCAAGGAGAAGGGGACTGTGGGATGAGAAAACCTCATGCAGAGAGTGCTGAGGAATCACAGGTCTCATTGGCCATTGGCTTTTCTAGTGTATCAGAAAAGACACTTGGGGCTTTCCATTACCAAAGTAAATAATGACCTTGCTTTGATAGATCAAACAAATAACACCAGTGTTGTGCCTTTGAGAGCCCTTGATCCCAGACAGAAAAGCAAGGGTTTTCCTTTTTATTTTGGACCCATTCCACTGCAAACAAAAGCATCCCACAGGTCAGACAAGAAGGGTATCTGACAGGATTTAAAGAGACTTCTCCTTTTTCCTTCTGTTCTCTACACCAGTAATTCACATTAAAAAATATATCAGACCTAAAAGCTCCTCATTCAGTTTATATCTGTAACGGATAGAAAATGTGGAACAGAAAATGCTCTGTAACTCACTCAAGAACTGTCTTGGCTTTGTGGACTTTAAGAGTCCTGTCTTCCTTTTAAATCAGAAAACAGTGATCCTGCAAAGTAGCAGATATGGTTACAATAGCTAAGTGGACTAGAACAACATTTAGATGTATAAACACAAGAGATACTGTTGTCCCTCTGCTGATCTGTGCAAGTACCGCTCTTAGAATACTAAATCCATTCCTGAAGTTGGCATGTCTGTAAAAACAAGTGTAGAAATGCTGGGGATAGTAATGATTTGAAGTCTGGAAAATTGTGCTTCACAGTGAGAGCTTTCAGATAGTCCATTCCTCCCTTTCAGAGGTTTTCAGAAATGACATTTAGAGGACTAAAAGCAGTTAATTTGCCAAGCTATGTCCAAGATTATAGGAATCTGTAATCTGTACCAAGCTGTAACAACATGCAGTGGCTGGAATCTAAGACTAGAAAATGTTTGCTATATAAATAGTTCTTTATTTCTAATTTAATAGTGGAAAAAGATTAAGAGCTATTGGAATGACTACTAATGGACTCTGTAGAAGGTCCTAAGGCATCAAGCCTAAGTGTAGTTTCTCTTCAGATGCTGTGGTGGGAGACAGGCTTTAGACTGTTACCATTGAGTTGGATATGGACAACTGCGTAGTTGTAGAAGGTGAACTTTCAGGAAGATGACACTCACTGCTGTTATCTCATGTTAGGTCAGGGATTAGTTGTCTTAAAGAACAGCTGACGGGAATGCTGTAACTTGGAGGTGTAGGGAGTCTAAGGAGGTGATTGAGTTTTACCAGAACATGCAAGAAGACTCCTTCTCACCTGGCAAAGAAAAGGGAAGCAAATAACCAAGTGAAGTGAAATGATAAGGCTGACTGCAGGTTTGTAGTTATCAGTTTAGGCTTGATTATCTGTAGCGGGTTTTCCTCCATTTCCCTGTCTTAGGCTTACAACTATGGACAAATGATTTGCATTTTGTTCTGAAAGTGGAATCTATATACAAGGTTGGTGGAAGCTGCCCTCCTCTTAAAAATTAGATGTGTTTGGAACAGGGTTTTTGTAGTACTGAGCGAGCTACCATAGACTTTCACATTGTGGTTTCTAAAGGACAGTAAATCCCCCAAACAGAAGACCTCTGGTTTCCTCTGGACTCTACAACCCAGCACTTCGGTCACCCAGAACTTCAGTCCTGGTTTTACAGACAGGAACTAGAGACTTTGGTCCTGTAGTTACCCACAGAGGTAACTGTGGCAAAAAAATCCCAATCAGAATTTGTCAACATGTCAATTTCCTAGAGTAACCTAACTTTCTATTAGAGATATCCCTCCAATTATATTATGAAAGCATTTCAGTAGATTCAAGGGTCTCGACCCTTTCACTAGAAATATGTTTCAGTTTTTTGTTAGACATCTCTCAAAATCTTAGACTTTGGTCTGTTAAGGATGATACATCTAGGAAACTTAGAGATTAACTCTTTTTGTCTTCTGTGCTAATCAAAGACTTTAACAATAAGTACTATCATTAGATCCTCTTTTTTTTTTGATAACTGATGCACAAACCAGTCAGTTTCTGGGAAAAATGGTACATTAGCTTGGTTTCGAAGGTCATGCTGCAGTAGAGGCCTCACTGTAAATGCTTTTCTTTTTAACTTTATAAACCAATTACTACAGCAGGATGAAGGAGAGTTTTGATTCCCTAATTGACAAATTGTTTTCAGTTCTTAATTTGTAGTTTCAGTTATGGAAGACTGCTTTCAAGATTCAGAATCTGTATTGCAGTAGTCTAGCTGGAGGAGTTAGAAGACAATGGGAGAACAAAGGAGTTCAGGAATGAAGAAGGAGAAAGAGGTCTAAGCCGTTTCCTCTGTTTCTTGGTTTTGGAATGAGTGACTATTTTAACCTTAAGTAACGCTGAGATTATTGGCTGTCTTCCATCATGAAATGCAAGTAACGTTAAGATAAGAAGGTAACTTCCTCCTGGCAAACTGTTCCCTCTCCATTTCTCTCCCATATTCTGCGTAAAATCTTTTCTCCTAGGCATGGGTGAAAGGAGCCTCCTTGTCTTTAACTTGAACGTTTCCTTTCTTCTAGTAATCAAGCCTACAGATATAGCCCCTGTGTGCTCAGCTGAAAAGGAAACCGCTTTTTTTTTGACAGTGAAGCTTCACTGCCAAAATGATCTTGTACTGCAGGTGGCTAGAGGTATATGATACAAGTTAGTTTGTCAGCTTTGGAACACATCTGAAGGGCAGGCTCTTCAGGAAGGGTGAACTTAGCACCAGTCCTATGATTAGCAAGTCTGGTTCTGTCTCCTTCAGCTTCTGAGACCTTGAAGATCCTTTGCAAGTTCTGCTTTCAGGTAAGGAGAAACTTATTCCTATTTTGACCCTCCACTTCATAACAAAAGGCTTAGTAAGTACTGATCCACATAAAGGTTTGGTCCTCAGCTGGGGAAAATTGGCAGAAGTCCAGCAAATTTCTAGAAATAAAAAACTGGAGAAATCTGAAAGCACAGCAGTTACTGGGACTTGCATGATATTCTGCAGCTTGTAAGAATACAGGAGCAGGAAGTTGGAATTACACTGATGGCTTAATCTTTCTGTGATCTCGTTTTTTTATGAGGGAAAGAAAATCTTTAGGAGAGAACTTTGCTCCTGTTCTCTTGGTGGTATTGGCTTGCATGGCTTTGTTTTTTTTTGAAAACTGATAGCAGAAGACTATCCAACCTTCAGGAGTGGAGCCATTATATGTGGGGCTGTGCAACAGGAGCCAAAGTTTAAAAATAAAATACCAGGCTGCCTTCCTGAGGATCCAGACATAGCATACACACACACACACACACACAATATCTTGACTGACCACAGTTATATCAGTTACTGAGCTCAGAGCAACGGACAATGAGAACCAAAAAGGGAGTCTTGTTCCTCAAAAAAGAAAGGGGAAGAAATGTAAGACTTCTGCAGCCTCAGATACCAGCTTCTGGAGTGCATGGGAGGCCCCTCATCACCAGCAGGGTTGAGAGACAGTAAGACCAGATGACTGTCAGTCATTCCTGGTGGTGTCTGCTGTAGCCCCTTCCCAGCCCTCCCTTTTCTCTCCCTCATTTTCTCTGCCGTACTGAGTAATGGTTCTGGGCAGAGCAGTCTCTTTTTGAAAATGTTCTCCTTTCTTAAGAGATTAAAGCAGTGGCTTTTATTTCATACTGAGTGCTGAGGGACCAGCACACCAAACATCTGTGAAGAAATGAAAAGACCAACTCCTTTGACTTCAGAGCTACTTTAAAGATACGCATCACCAGTGTCATTCTCTGCTAGGCTGTGGAAATAGCAGATGATCAGTTTGCATCCTTCCAGAAGACCTGGAGAAGGAGGGGCCTACGGAGTGGGTAGTAGATAGACCCAGGAAGAATTATTTATGGCAGAAAAGCAGAAATTTAAGTTTTAACACCAGGAATATAGCTTGGAAGGTGAAATAAGTTATGTTAGAAAGGAACAATCTTTTGAAAGAAAAGGTGGCACTACTCAGTCTAAGAAAATTGGAAGATACCATTCTTGATCACTGGTGAGAGTAGGCAGGGATGAAGAAGGTGAAAGATTTAACCCTTTTTTGCCTGCTTCCCCAAAATGCTGATGTCCTATCAACTTCCAGACTTTGCTTGGTAATTGTGAGCTGGGCTGACGAGGGTGGGAAGTCAGGGTTCCTCCAGTGGCTTGGTGTGAGGCAGCAGGGAGTGTGCTTTTCTCAGGTGACGTGACATAAACTGTATGCAGGTAGCAGCTGTGCACAGTCTTATCTCCCTGTATGCCACCTCAAGCTAGTGTGCTAAAAGATTGGAGCCTATGCTTTTGACTGTATGGAGTGGGCAGATGCAGTTTCCAGAAAAACCCGTGATCCCCAGATACATCTCATAGTAAACGCAAATGGATTTTTAGCTAGGCTTCTTCTAGCTTCAGCAAGCATGTTTGTATATCTCAGTTGACAGCTACAGGGAGAAAAAAAACCAAAGAAGAGGTGTTACCACTTCGTATCTCTGCCCAGGCAAAGTAACAGTCACAGCTGCCCATGACACACTTGGCTTTTGGCAGAGCTCAGGCTGGTTCTGCTCTGCAGACATAGGATGAAGCATGCTCAGTATGCTTGCTTCAACAGGAATGCCAGCAGTATCTTGGATTACTACAGAGTGCTCTGTGTCTGTGAGCTCCTTCTGTAGAGTTTGGGTTCACATTAAATGGGATCAGGAGTTCTTGGTAGCCTGTGTATGGCTCTCAGCACAGGCTAATCACCTTTTTTGGAAAGTTGTGTTTTCTTACACATCCAGACTCTCAAACTGGAACACTTATTTTATTGAAGATTTTCAGTAAAAACATACTAGCTTTACATACTAGTTGAACATACACTGAAAGTGATGCTGTAGCCTAAAGGTTTTGTAGGACTTGATTCTCTTACAATCTGAATTTTTTTTTTTAAAAATCCATAGAATATCTGGGTCTTGTTTGTGGTGATGTCCTAACAATGAAGGGTAGGTGCAACTGTCAGCATGTGAAAACTAATTGCTTGGTTTGTTCTCATAAATTTTGTTAGCCAGGGTGGAGTGGAAGTGTGCACATGCTTTGTGGCTCCAGCTAGCATGTGTGAAAGAGAGGTCTGATTAAATCAAACTTCCTCTTCTTTGGTCATGAATATCTCCTGCTTACAGAAGACACTGAGGAAGACCTGGAGTGTTTCTCTTACAGATATTTTTATAAAGGTGCTATAAAGAAGATTCCCTTTATGACTTCTAGTAAGTTTTGATGGTTTTTTGTCTAGACATTTTCTAGAACAGAATAATTATTAATATGTTGCCCATTATTTAGAAGAGTTTGGGAAGAGAGTAGAAGGATTCAGCAGTTTGGGCAAAATCGTATTAAGAGAAAAGCCTCTCAGACCGTACAAGAATTTCAGTTTTTCTAGCTGTCAATCCTTCAAAACAAATATCCTTCCTCACCCCCATATAAAGCTCCCTTTTTGGATGGCCACCCTTTTTTCCATCTCCCTCCTGCCACTGTGATCTTGAGTAATATGAGGGTTAGACCATTTTCACCAACCCTTAACTCTGTCTCCCCTGGTATTCTTCTCCTCAGCTCAGCAGACATTTTGCTGAGTTGACCTAAATTCTTCAGCAAAAGGCCTGGATTCTGTGCAGGAAGCTGGAATGGCAACTCCAGTTAAGAAGTAAACACAAAGATAAATAAAGAGTATCAGTTAATATCCTTGTGTGTGGTGTATGATTTACCCCTGCTCCTGAAATTTTAACTTCCGCTGTGCTGGAGAACCTTTCATTTGTAGTTGTTGTGGGAAGTTAGCACTGGGATTTCAGGCACAGCGGCACAGAAAGGTAGCGTGGCGTAACTGGGAACGGCTGGAGTCTGGAAACCCACTTTCTGCTGCTGGCTGTGCCACAGACCAGCTGTGCGACCTGGAGCCAGGCTACTTTACTTCCCTGTGCTTCTCCATTACCAGGTAAAGGAATAAGGTTCTCCGTGACGCAGACTCACTCATCTTGCTTTTCACACAGAGAAAGCCTACAACACTGTGGCCTGAAGCTGCATGAGTCAAATAAATAGGTAGTAACTGCATGAAATAGAGTGTCAGTATTGCTACTTGATATACTTAATTCTGCATTTTTGTTCCTTACATATTACCTACAGGTTGTGAGTCTTCAGATTTTGTTCAATAATTTGAAGCTGTTTGAAAACCAGGGGAATACTTCAGTCTTTTCTCTCTCTGAGAGCAAGTCACTTCTGCTAATTTAAATGACTTGTTTGTGATAAATGAATGGAAACCTGAAACATATGATATTGTCTTTTGTCTTGCTTTGGTGTTCCATAAACAGCAGAAGGTAAAATGAAATTTCTGCAGGACTGATTGTATACTTTTTGGCATAGACTCTTTTGTCAATGAAGTCCTAAATTAATGTGAAACTTTCACTCTGCATACATTCCTGCAAACAAGAACCCACGCTTGAATGAATGCTTGTTGCAAGAAACAAATAAAAAAGTACAAATGCCTTTTATTCAAATGAGTTTTAAAGGGGAAAAAAAGTCTAGAATGGACAACAAAACACATTACATTCTTGCTTTTTTCTCTTCCATAGTGTTAAAGGATGTTGGCTAACATAAATGAAGTGCCTCAAAATATTCTTTGTATGTATTTTGGTGTCATATGGTTCATGTATGCCTCTTTTGCGATGAAAAAACAGGGAGGAGATTCACCTGACTGGCAAGTGGTGTTGCTGAATGCTGTGTCTAATGGGTTGTTCACTTAGCTGGACTCTTACTGAAAAGAGGCATGTGTTGTTTATCTCTGTGACTGTCCATGTCTCCTCTCCATGTGTAGTTGAAAAGATGCATCCTGTCCCTTTCAACCAGCATAAATCTGAGGACATACAATTTTATAACAGCTGAGTCTATGGTCTTTGTGGTTTAGTTTTTTTTTTTCTTGCTTGCTTGTTTCCATCTTTGTTCCTTTAGTGAGAAGAAGAAAAAAGAATTTCTTTATATGGTTCTGCTTTGAAATAATCCTGCTTTATTTTAAAACCTCTTGAGCTGGAGGATTCAATGACACTTGATCTGCCTAAAGTATTTATGTATACTTCTTGGAAAAACAGTAAGTTGGGAAGTTTGTAAGTTTCTTCCCTTTAAGTCAAACTTTGGTTCCTTTTTTTAAGTGGTTCTATAATCATCAATAAAACCAATTTCAGTTATGTACCCCTTTGCTTTGGAACTGTAGAACATTGAAGTCTGTCTTTGTCATTACCATAGGTGAATATTCTTTCTCTTCGTTGAAAACGTCGTGAGCCAGACTACCCTTCCTTTGCTTTCAGAACATTAGTTCTGAAGTTTTCAGATTAATTAAAAGGCATGTTATATTGCATAATTTTGTTTGTATCTCATTGGGTTGAAAGTTCTGTTGGGTGTTTTAAACCATCACAGGGCTTGAATCTTCTGGGTTCCTTTGGGTATTTTTTGAAATGTTTCTGCCATCTTTGTTAGCTTAAAATATATCTTATCCACTTCCATCTACTTTGTGTGCAGAGTAAATGTCAAGGTTTGTCTACCCATGGAATTATTTAGGCAGAGCTATTGCAGTTTCAAACAACCCTCCTTAAGTCCAAAAGCATGTCCAAGTGTGGGTACAACCTCACTTCTGGTTCTTCTCACACACATGGCTTGGTGTGACGTGCAGGATGACCTGGAGACTTGGTGAAAGTGTTTGTAGAAAGACATGCTGAGGTCAGTTGCAGAGGGCTTCTAGTGAGAACAGTAACAATAAATGGATCCTTCAGAACAAAATGGATCTGCTCCATATTCAGATACACAA